AAAAGTCTAACCCACCAATTTTTGGCATTGATATAGTAAAAAATAGAATGGTAAAATCTCACTACTTTATGCCTCTACTCAGTTGTAATTTACTGATTGTTCTTGATTTGTTGGATTTTTTGTATTTTTGTTGTCTATGACTTCGGTGTTTCCTTGCTTTTTTTTGTTCAAGCGGTGCTCCAATTCCTTCTTTCAAATAAGGAGCCATGAACGATTTTTCATAGTTTTCATGAATTTTACTCCCTTGTGCTTCATCTTCTTGCGAGTATGTATTTATTTTATGTTCTGAATTTTTATCTACGTGTTCTCTTAAGTGATTGCTTTGTTTTTGGGTAATGGTTTAGTTTGTTCTCCTCTCTTTGTGAATAATCGGGTTTCTGGTCCCATTAAATTATGATGGTTTGAAATTGCAGATGAAGTGTTTGATAAAAGTGCTGACTATGATTCTGCTTTGTTGCTCAAAGAAACCGAATGTGTGTTTCTTTGTTGTCCTCATTTTATTTTTTCATATTTCTATTTGGATTATCTTCGCCTGTTTGATGTTGAATCTTGCTCGAATTTGGTTATTTCTGTTGTGTGCTTCGGCATGTTGTCGGCATAGTTAAGTTTACTATGTAAAAAATTACATTTTGGTAGTTGTTATTATTGTTGTTTCAGTATAGTGTAGAATTTGTTTTAGTTTGGAATGACAATAGCAAAACTTGCACTTCCCTAGAAAATACAAATCTTGGGTTGTTACAGTGGACATTAAAATGTCTTCTCAGTGTTGGATACAAATTCAAAATGAGTTCATAAACTTCACATTTTGAATCAATCCATCGATTTTTTACCTATTGAAATTGAATTCTACGTGTTAATTCGTTATTGTTTACATAGTATGCATACTTTGTGAAATTTCAATTTATAATCTTATTTATGTTGATCTGTTTCTTATCATTTGCTTAGTCAAAAGTATAGACGCCTGATTACAAAATTAGAAGTCTAATTTACTTACTTTGTCGTCTTGAAATGTTTTTATGGCATACTTCTTTCTTCTAAATTTTTTACCTAACTGAGGAATCTATGAGGTCACATTCAATTTGCTTCACCTCATTTTGGAACAGAAAATTTATGAAATCCTTGTATAAATAGTAAAGGAGCAACCCAGTACACAAAACATCGCGTATTAGCATAGTCCGGTGAATGTGATGTATAAATAGTAATCGTTAACTATCTTTCTAATCATATCTGCTCGTAGGTGTTTAGATATCACAGAAAATTAGGTGTCAAGATCAAGTTTTACAATTTTTACTGTCATGGTGCTTAGAGATGAGAGAAATTAGCAAACTACTAAAGCTCTTTTACTTTCTTCAAGCTCCGTAGCAGACTTGGGAAACCATGTTGATATCTTTGGTGCAAGGACAAAGGTAGTTTCACTTTTCAAGTTGGAATGAATTACCAATATAAAAAACCTGCTTGTGAAGTAGATGACAATTGATACACCAGCTTGCCGTCTAAGTACTGAAAACTCCTTAAGGTATTGACTCACTATTGATCTCTTTCAATATCATACATACTAATGTTTTGTCTAAATTCTCTAAGTACATGAAGTCGGAACGTTCTTCACCTATAACGATTGGATGAGTGTTAAACTATTAATAACACCCTCAACCTAAGTACATTCATATTATTTTTATATTTTGATCCATTATATTTGGGGCAGAAGATAGAGTAGATATTTCATTAACGTATAAAGGCATTTCATCCAATACTAAATGCCAACGATCGTTCGTCAGTATAATAACCCAACTATGTAAGTTGGGGTCGATCCCACAGGGAGTAGTACTTCCTTCAAATTCAATAATAAAAGTATAATGACAACCTCTTCAATCAAACAATTTTTGCACAATTAATGTTCAAATTTCAAATTTCGGGTTTTAATTATCAATCCAAATTTACACTTCAACACAAACAATCAAATATTAGAGTAAAGCTTGGGGAATTGATCAACCAATTATTGAATCTCAACGAACTGGATAACGTTACTACTCATAATGGGAAAATTTCTAGTGAGTAGGTCAAACTATATATAAAGTAACTTTGTCTCGAACAATTACCTTTTCTATGTTGAATGCTCTCGAACTTCAACACTAATCGAAAGAGGCCCAACTCTTTACCCTCATCAAATCCACTCTCTCGAGCTGGATACAAAGGCTGGATCACTTGTTTTCACTCTCTTGAGCAGAAACCAAGGAAACCCACTACTAAGGACGCTAAGATTGCCACTTTGGTTCTACACCTCTCTCTCAAGCAAGTGCACAACACTGAAATTGTTAGATGAAATCATGCAATTCAAACTCGACACACAACAACAACTTAGACCCACTTCAAACTAATACCATTATTCGCAATTAAGGAACACCCACTAAGTAAGTTTCAATAACTGGCTTCATGATCAAAACCCCAAGTGAAGAGTTTTAGCCACTCATCTCAAAAATCAGAAAATCAAAATCAATTATCACTCCCATAGTTGAGTAAAAAATGAGAATTATAGATGAAAATCAATTAATAATTTCCTCTCTTACAAAATCTCTCTCCAAATCTTGCTAAAATCACTGACTAAACCATTTGGTAGTGTTTTCTCTCTAAGTAATTCCTTCTTCACGTTCTGAATAAATTTCTCTCTCTAGTCAAAATGAATTTAAGCAAGTCTGAAGTGTCACCGCTTTAAGACCACTCAACGAAGTAAGTTGAACGTCGTTGACAGATCGGCGATTCACCGATTGTTCTTCATCTCGCTTTCATTTTCTGCTTCTTCTTGGTCTGGCCACTGTAACTCTAGGCGGTTCAGGTCGGGATCGCCGAGTAACTCTGCGATTCACCATCTTTCCTTCTATCTCGCCTATCACTACTTGCTTGAATCTTCTTCAGCACTTTCGGCTACCAGTTTATCCTTCGCCGAATAGATCGGCGACACACCGAATAGAGTTGCTATTCGCCGAAATCACCCCCATTTTAGCTCCAACATTCTGTCACTTTAGGCGGTATCTTGGCAATTTGGTGATTCGCCGAATGACATTGGCGATCATCAGGTCTTCATTTCTTCCTTTTTTTAGCTTGCTTTGTTCCCTTCTTGATCAATAGTGTCCATGCATCATTCCTAAATCCAAATACCTAAAATTCAAGGATTTACATCATTCATTTGCACACAACAAGCATTTAAGGGCAATAATTTTGTTAAAATAAAACCCTAAATGAGTTCAAATTGTGGACTCATCAACACTCCCAACTTAAACTTTTGCTCGTCCTCAAGTAAAACTTCAAGTTCAACAGTTCAAAAAGGGATGTCTCAAACAATGTTACACAAAACTCAATCATGAATGCACACAACAAGACTCAACTTACTCATGCACGGATCAATTGTGCACAAAAAGATTCAAGTTGTGACTCACCACTATCAAAGATTCTCAAGTTCGCAATACATGCTTCAAATGTAAGTTCAAGCTCAACAAAAGTACTCAAATGCCCTCACATGAAGAATGATTCCATATTCACACTCAATAGTTCACAATTTTAAGGCTCCGGAATCAAATGCAACGCTCACACTCACAAAGATGAACACAATGCATGACTTCACCCATAGGTTTGCCCTTATTTTCCAACCAACATTTGTTTCAGCTCACTCAAGATCAAAAAGGTCTTTTCAAAGCTTGTAACGGGGCTGAGTGCAAATATGTGGTCATTTAGGCTCAATGGCTACTCCTCATGAGATATGATGTGAACAACACTTTTTTTCCTTTTCTTCATCATTCTTCATTCGTGCTCACAAGTCATCCCATTATTCACTTTCCATGGATTGTTAGATAGCCCACTTCTTTTTATATTTTCACAACTTTTTCTTCTTCTTCTTTTTTTGTGGAGGGGTTCCATTTTTCTCAAAACATGGGTAAAAGTGGACTTTCTTGCACGTCTTGATTTACCTTCTCTTTTCACCACACCCCCAACTTAGGCTTTTGGCCTAAGTTGGCTACTCAAACAAACCACAAATCATGAGGATTATGGGTAATGGATCAATAAAAGGTCATAATGTCATCAAGTTTCTTCCAAGAAAAGGTTAAGGCTCAAAGGGTGCTCAAGCGGGGTTCACACACTCACGAGGTAGGTCACAAAAGGGTATTATGTCAAATTGGTTCACAGTCTTCAAAGTTGCCTAAGATCATCTCAAGAGTTCACATCACTTAGTAAATCGGACCATCGGGTTAAATTCTAGGTGTCATCACACATGGTTCACGATTCGCTTATCACACACAAGGCATTTACACCATAGTCAAACAAGACTCACACTTTCGCTAGTGTGCAATGTTCATCAGAAGAGACTTAATTCAATACTTAGCTAGTCACCTTGAGATGCAAAGAGTTCACATATTGTCTATGCAACTTCATTTGGCCTCATCGTAGCTGTACATTCATTTTTGTTCGATTATGAGTACTATTTAAGTCATCGATATTGATCAAAACCAATACTCAAATTTGTGAGAGAACAACCACATACACAAACAAGGGAGGTGGCATAAAGAGGAAGAGGAGGAGGTTCGGTCAGTTCACTGACAAATTTCCACACCCCCCACCAAAAGCATGCAACATTGTCCTCAATGTGGATAGAAAACGGGCATTACCAAAAATAGAGCAAAATAGGAATAATAAATGAAGACTAACAAGAAATGAAAATAATCTAGGGTCTAAACAAGTAAAGCAACGTAGCGAGGAATCTTCACGAAATGCTCAGTTGACGACAAAGTGAAGCGGTCACCGAATGTTTCGACGATGCGCCTAATATTCTTCAGAGCACCCTTAGTTTCAATGGACTGCACTCCCAGAGAAGGCAGATCGGCGAAGATGTAGAGCGTCGCCGAACAGCTCGGCTATCCGCATAATGAACTCAGAACATCGTCGATCGATCCTTGAGAGACGGTATCAGCGTTGACTCAAAAGGGCGAGGAAACGCGGGTCGCCTAAGCGTATCAGTGATACGCCAACTGGTGAAGGTGTCCCGCCAAATGATCCAAAGTCTCAGCCTCATTATTGAGATCCATAAGGCGAACCAAATTATGCTCGCCGAACTGGTTCGGCGACTCGCCAAGAGCACCTTTGTCTAACTCATGATCCTGCTCCTGCAAAATCAACACACATTATTTAAAACACTAGCACTTGGGTTGCCTCCCAAGAAGCGTCTTATTTAACGTCGCGGTACGATGTGGAAATGCTCTCAAGCATCTTCCAGGTACACCACCTCAATCAAAGAAATCTCCTGGCATTCTCAAAAGTATAATTTCAAACATTGCACATTCACCTTAAATGCAAGTTCTTCTTGACCCTCAACTTCTATGGCACCATTTGTAAATACTCGTGTCACTCTAAATGGTCCGGACCATTTAGACTTGAGTTTTCCAGGAAAAAGTTTAAGTCGGGAGTTGTATAGCAACACCCAATCTCCCACCTTGAACTCTCGCTTAAGTATTTTAGCATCATACCACTTCTTCATATTTTCCTTGTAGAGAGCTGAGCTTTCGTAAACATTGAACCTGAATTCGTCTAACTCGTTTAATTGTTCTACTCTCTCTTTTGAGGTTTTTGTCCAGTCCAGATCCAGAGCTTTTAGTGCCCACATTGCCTTGTGTTCCAATTCAACTGGTAAATGGCAAGATTTTCCAAAACCTAGTTGATACGGAGACATAACGATTGGAGTTTTGTACACAGTGCAATATACCAATAGTGCGTCATCAAGCTTTTGAGACCAATCAGTCATGTTAACATTCACGTCTTAGCCAAGATACTTTTGATTTCCCAGTTTGACACTTCAACTTAACCGCTTGTTTGGGGTGATATGGAGTTGCTACCTTGTGTTTTACTCCATACTTACTCAATGCAGCTGAAAACCATTTATTGCAAAAGTGTGATCCGCCATCACTAATGATAGCTCGAGGAGTATTGAATCTAGCAAAGATATAGCGTTTCAGAAATTTAATCACACTTTTCCCTTCATTATTTAGAAGCGCAATAGCCTCCACCCATTTAGAAACATAATATACTGCCACTAAGATATACTTATTACCAAATGAACTCACAAACGGGCCCATGAAATCTATTTCCCAAACATCGAATAGTTCAACTTCTAAAATGGGAGTAAGGGGTAATTTGTGTCTTCTAGACACTCCACCTTGCATCTGACATTGAGCGCATTTCTGCACAAATTCGTGCACATCCTTGTAGAGGGATGGCCAGTAATAGCCGCTTTGGAAAACTTTAGCGGTTATACACATACCGCTATGATGGCCCCCACCGGGAAAGCATGACAAGCATGGAGAATTTCAACCGCTTCTTCTTCCGGGACACATCTTCTAATTATATGGTCTGCACACTCTCGAAACAAGTATGGCTCATCCCAAAAGTATTTTTTAACATCGAAAAAGAACCTCTTTTGTTGGTAGAAGTTAAGCTTGTTCAGCATCAATCTGCACACTATGTAATTGGCGAAATTTGCATACCATGGAGTTTGTTTGAGAGTTATTGCAAACACTTGTTCATCGGGAAAAGAATCATCTATGTCAACCTCAGGCTAGTCATTTTTCCTACCCTCTAATCATGATAAGTGGTCAGCCACTTGATTTTTGCAACCTCTTCTATCTTTGACCTCAAAGTCAAATTATTGCAATAGTAGTACCCACATTATCAACCTTGGTTTGGCATCTTTTTTTGCCATTAGTTAACGGAGTACAGCATGATCAGTGTGAACAATTACTTTAGTGCCTAACAAGTATGCCCGAAATTTCTAAAATGCATAGACTACCGCAAGCAACTCTTGTTCAGTAACGGTATAGTTACGTTGAGCACTGTTTAGAGTCTTACTCGCGTAGTAAATTGGGTGAAATAGTTTGTTGCATTTTTGCCCCAGCACAACACCCAACGTTGTTCCACTTGCATCACACATTACTTCGAAATATTATGACCAATCAGGAGTAATAATGACCGGGGTGGATACTAATTTCTCCTTCAAGCACCGAAAATCCACCATACAAGCATCATCAAATTGGAATTTCACCTCTTTCTCTAAGAGTTTGAATAGAGGATGTGCAATCTTTGAGAAGTCTTTGATGAACCTCCGATAGAAATCGGCATGCCCCAAGAAACTGCGAACATCCTTCACTGAAATTGGCGGAGGTAGTTTCTCAATCACTTCAATATTCTCCTTATCGACCTCTAATCCCTTTTGTGACACCTTTTTCTCGAGAACTATGCCCTCTTTCACCATGAAGTGGCATTTTCCCCAGTTTAGAACCAAGTTTGTCTCCACGCATCTTTGGAGCACTTGCCCCAAGTGTGCCAAGCACTCTTCAAACGTGTCCTCTACGACTGAGAAGTCATCCATGAATACTTCCATAGAATCCTCTACCATGTCCGCGAAAATGGATAACATGCAACGCTGAAATATTGTCGGGGCATTACATAGCCCAAATGGCATTCTCTTAAATGCAAACGTTCCATAAGGACAGGTGAAAATGGTTTTCTCTTGGTCTTCAGGTGCAATGGAAATTTGGTTGTAACCAGAGTATCCATCCAAAAAGCAGTTACAACCTCTCTCTGATAGTCAATCGAGCATTTGATCCATGAAAGGCATGGGGAAGTGATCATTTTCGGTCAACGAATTTAGTTTTCGGTAATCCATGCATACTCTCCACCCAGTCACCGGTCTTGTAGGTACAAGCTCCCCCTTTTCATTTGGGACCACTGTGATACCCTTTTTTTTTCACACATTGCATCGGGCATACCCATTTGCTATTAGCAATAGGGTAGATCACACCTGCGTCTAACAACTTTATTATCTCCTTTTTCGGTGGGTTTAATCTCCGTTGATGTTCAACACTTGGTTTACACTCACTGTCAAGCTAAATTTTGTGAGTACAGATACCTGGAGGAATGCCAATTATATCAGTTATGGTCCAACCTATAGCTTTGATATGCCCTTGTAACCTTAAGAAATAATGTTTTCCTACCATTCAAGTAAGTCAGCCGCAATAATTACCGGTAGAGTGTTATTTACCCCCAAGAAAGCATACCGAAGATGGGAGGGAAGTGCTTTTAATTCCAGATGTGGTGGTTCTTCTGTTGATGGTTTAACAGGAGGACTCTTTCAACTTTTCAAACCAATGTCCAATTTCAATAGAGTCTTTGAGTATCCTCCTAAGCCTGAAAGAGCAACTACTACCTCTTCATAACCTTGAATTTTAAATTCATCATAGTTAGCAAGCACGGCTTCAAGAGGTTCGCTCATGCACATCAAACGGCTCACGCTAGCCACCGCCTCATCAATAACATCAACGGTAGACACCACATGAATATCACTTGGGTGTTTCATTGAATTACAAACATTGAAGGTCACTTCATCGCCATTCACCCAAAATTTCAACTCTCCGCTTTCAACATCCACCAATGCTCTTCCGGTTGCTAAGAATGGTTTTCCCAAAATAATGGGAATTTCAGCATCTATTTCACAATCAAGAATGACAAAATCAACTGGGAAAATGAATCGATCAACCTTCACCAAGATGTCATAAAGTATCCCCACGGGATACTTGATAGAACAGTCAGCCATTAGGAGTTTCATTGTGGTTGCTTTTGGTTCACCCAACCCAAGTTGCTTGTATATCGCATAGGGTATTAAGTTAATGCTTGCCCCCAAATTGCATAAAGCTTTAGCGAATTGGAGAATGCCAATGGTGCAAGGGATGGTGAATGCCTCGGGATCCTCTCTTTTTTTTATCAGCTCCTTAGTCATAATTGCACTGCAACTATGGGAAACTTCAATTGTCTCAAGATCCAAGTTCCTCTTCTTTGTGACTAGTTCTTTCATGAACTTGGCATATCCCGAAATTTCCAATAATGCCTCCACAAGGAGGAGGTTGATTGATAGTGTCTTGAACACCGACAAGAACTTCTTGAACTTCTCATCTTCATTATTCTTCTTTAAGCGTTGGGGAAATAACTTCATTTCCCATCGCATTACCTATTGCCACCTTTCCGCTACGAGTAACCATAACCAGCCCTATATCGTCATCTTCCATTGTTATCTTAGGTTTCAATTGAGTTGATAATAAACTCAGTTGTCCTTCAAGTATCTTGATGGCATCAGCATGAGAGTTTACTTTACTGTTCAATGATAAAAAGTCATTTTTCATCCCTTTCAACAAATTATCTGAACCTTCAACTTTATCAAGTATGTGAGACAACAAGTCATTCACCCGGGGGATGCTTGCACTCCCTTTTGATTTTGGGATCTCACTCGAGTGAGAATGGTTCTCCTCATGATCATCTTCCCTTCTCCAATAATCATCTTCCCTTCTCCAATAATCATCTTGCTCAGCCCAATCTTGGTAGTATCTCTTTTGTTCTTCTCCCTTATGATAGTTCCAACCTTGATTTCCGCCTCGTTGTAGGTAGCGTTAGTGGAAACCCTCATAATATCTCTTGGAGTTCCGGAAGAAGAACCCTCCTCAATCCTAAACACTCCACATGTCCCCTTCATGTGCTCTTGTAAATATTCCATTTGGGTCAACATCTTCTTGATGTTTTCATCCCTCTCTCTCTCTTTATCAAGTTGCTCTTGTGTTAGTCTAAAACAAAATGGAGAGACTTGATCCTCTTTGGTGTACCATGCTTGGTTTATTCTAGTCATGTCATCAAGAAGAAACGAAGCTACCTCAAATGATTGTAACATTATTCCTTATCGTACCAATTAATCAGCCACTCTTTATTAACCGAATCGAGACTCCGATAGAAATATTGAAGTAACAAATCGTTTGGTAGCCCATGAGTTGGGCATTTAACTAGGAGCTTCTTGAATCTCACCCACGTTTCATGGATGGGTTCCCCCTCCCGTCATTTGAAACTTTGAATTTCGTCTCTAAGTTTCATCATCCTTGATGGAGGAAAGAATCTTGTGTTAAATGCTATAATCAGCACCTCCCATGATGTGATGGAATTGTTTGGTAATTTGACTAACCGCTTAGTAGTGATAAGCTCAAATTACACCTCCCTAAAGAAGCATAAGCGGTCGTTATCAAGTAAAGAACCCAACTTGTAGGTTGGGGTCGATCCCACGAGGAAAATGGTTTAGACTTTAATTTAACCAACAATTATATTCGATTAGTCAAATTACTTCCAGAAACAAGTAATAAAAAGGGAGATTTTTGTGAAACAAATTGTAAGAATTTAATAAGTAATCAGTAATCAAAACTCAATTTTGGTTGTTATCAAGATGAGAAAATTAACTAGGGTATACGTGTTCACCACAAGCTCATAACGCAGTAATTCTAGTAACAACAATTCTTTCCTAGTGTATTACATGCAAAGTGATAAGTTAGGTATCTCTAAATCATTGGTCCGACATCTAGAGAATTTCAC